GAATTGGATCTTACTCAATGGCAGTGAGTTTGGTTTTTGGTTTAATGATAGGAGTTAATCGGGGAACCAGTGTGAATTCACATTTATGTATAACAGCTCAGTGGTCAGCATGTAGGAATCTGCAGAGCCTGACACAATATGGGGGTTATTCAGTATAATGATAGGAATAATGACAGGCTGAGAAAGGATGAGGTTTAAGCAGAGATCTACCGTTTGTTGAGTCAACAACAACTCATAGCAACCCTACCTACAACAGAGCACCACTGCCCAGTCCCGTGCCATCCTCACAATCCTTGATATGCTTGAGTGCATCACTGCAGCCACTGTCAATCCATCTTTTTCACTGACCCTCTGCTTAGCATGATATTTTCCTCCATGTTTCTGACAACATGACCAAAATACGTGAGATAAAGTCTGGCTATTTTCCCTTCTGGGAGCTCGGGTAGCATAGTGGCTACGGCACTTGACTGCTAACCAGAAGGCTGGCGGTTCAAATCCACCAGCCACTCCTTGGAAGGAAGATGGGGCAATCTACTTCCGTAGTGATACTGCCTCGGAAGCCCAAGGAGGGGTCTGACTCGACGGCAAACAACAACAATTTTCCCTTCTAAGGAATATTCAGACTGTACCTATCCCATCTAGCATCTTGTTGTTATTTGCCATCGAGTCGGCCCCGATTCATAGTGACCCCTCCTTGGGTTTCCGAGGCAGTACCACTACGGAAGTAGGAATGCCCAACCTTCCTTCCAGGGAGTGGCTGGTGGGTTTGAACCGCCAGCCTTCTGGTTAGCAGTCAAGTGCCTTAGGCACTATGCTACCAGAGCTCCTATCTAGCATCTAGGAGAGGCTAAAAATTGGCAAGACTTGTTGCAGAAAGGACAGATTGTATGGCTAATCTAGTGCAATGTACATTTGATGTATAGTGTGAGAAATGTTCCCTCCAGCAGGAGGAGAGGAAAACAAACAGAATTTATGTAACCTGTAAGATGTGTCAACTATAGATGTTAGTAACCTGTAAGACACACTCAATTTAGATAGAGCACATTTGTGCAGAACCCCAGCCCTTATTCAATCTCAAATTCTCATGTCCTCAGTCCTCATAACCACACCACCAATGGAGAAGGTTTGCACACCACACCAGAGACAGAGCCAAGAACCATGCTAACCTTTTTACGCTACTTGCACTGAAGCATAAGTGTGCTCATCTCATCCTGTTCCCCTTGTTTTGCATCAGGTCTTAATTAAACACCTTTATTAGATCTGCAAGCTTTTCTATTTCTTTAAATATCGCTACCTGGAGGTACACCATTGCATTATAGTAATTTTCCAGGCGTTTATCCTTTAAGAGATTCTCAAGGACATTTTCTTCTGGACCACATAGTTTAACCTGGAATGGCTTAAGCAAGGAGACTGCTCAGGGGCTGCTTCTTTTCAGTCAGGTTTCACTTCTCCTTCACACCAAGGAACCTATTCAAATGCCGACATTTTGGAATCCTTAGTCCTTACTCGAACTAACTTCCTGTGCCAGAAGCTTTTGTCTGCCCCAATTAGCTTCTTTCTTTAACAAATTCCCTTTATCTTCCGCTTGTGGCAAAGCGGGGCAAGGCCCCAGGGGGCATGCAATATTTACTAAAGTCCTCCCCCATTTCCCGGCCTGTCTGGCAGTTGTTGGCCTTTACCACTGGATTCACAGTGGTCACCTTTTTTTTTCTTTTCTGTAGACACCAGGCTTTTTCTGAATAGTAAGATTATTCAGAGCAGAATTAACTTTGTCTCAGGCATCTATCTGACTGCTAACTAGAAGGTTGGCAGTTCAAACCTACCAGCTGCTCTGCAGAAAGAAGATATTCCATAAAGATTTACCACCTGGGAAACCCAATGGGGGTTCTCTGTGAGTCGGAACAGACTCCATGGCAGTGAGTTTGGTTTTTTTGCTTCGTTTACCCAAAAACTAGGTACATGAAATTTACTTCTGAGCTTTCAATCCACATTGTGAAATTCAGAAGACCCAGACAATGTTCTTTCACCAAGGCACAAAATGATGAAATGACAGTATAAAACAAAACCCAAGAAAAAGTAAATTTTAAAATAAACCAACTGTGGTATTTAAGTTTGCATCATATTCTGTTCTGTTTACCTAGCACCACTCTAACAGAAATACCACAAATGAGATGGTTTGAACAAACAGAAGTTTATTCTCACAGTTCCGGAGGCTAGAAGTCTGAGTTCAGAGTGCCAGGCTCTAAGGGCTGGGTGAAAGCCCCTTGACCTTGCGCTTCAGCTCTGCCTCTTGCTCGGGCTCGGGCCCACTGAAGCTAGAGGCATCTCTTCATTCAGGCAGCTGCTGGCTGCTGAGGCTGACAAACCCGAGGTCGACAAGTGAGAAGGCACAGACCCAATGTTACCAAACCACCAGGGAGGCCATTAATTCAAGTCCATTGAAAGTCCCAAAGTCATCAGAGCATGGCAGGTTGCTGAACAACAACATGGCTACATGCAGGGTTCAAGCATGCCATGAGCTAGAGACCATTCCAAAGCTATTTCTTATATACAGGAAGCAGACCACGTACCCAAAGCAGCTACTCAGCTGCTCCAGTAGATTCCACCATGGAGTTAATTACCAATCGCACCATGGGGAAAAACTACATTCAACTGCCCAGCCACCCAACCAGGCCTAGACAAGTTGACACACAAACTTAACTACCACACCAAATAAAGTATAATAAAATAAGTAAAATCTAATACTTCCATAGAGATACCAAAAAAACCAAACTCACAGCCAACCAGTTGGATCTGACTCATAGGGACCCCTCCTTGAGTTTCCGAGGCAGCATCACTACAGAAGATTGCCCAAACCTCCTTCCAACGAGTGGCTGGTGAGTTTGAACTGCCAGCCTTTTGGTTAGCAATCAAATGCCCTAGGTACTATGCCACCAGAGCTCCCTCAGAAACCCAAGGAGTGGTCATTATGAGTCAGAATCACTGACAGTGGTGAATTTGTTTTTTGTTTGCTTGTTTGTTTTGGTAATATGGTACTGGAAGTAACACTCATTCCAAAGGAATGTGAAAGATGGAAAGGCTGTCAAGTGAATTTAAGTATTTTATTTTTACGTGGAGGTGCAGTGGTTAAAGTGCTCATCTGCTAACGGAAAGGTCAGCAATTCAAACCCACCCACTGCTCTGTGGGAGAAATATGTGGTTATCTGCTTCAATAAAGATTCACAGCCTTGGAAACCCTATGAGGCAGTTCTGTCCTACAGGGTGGAGGAGTTGGAATTGACAATGGGTTCTTTGGTCTTTTCACCTCATCTTCTACTATGCTAGTTATAATCCTAGAGATCCTCTGACCAAAAGAAGACAAGCCAACAAGCTTTAAATTGGGTTTGCACCTAGAGAAGGACTTTAATTTCTCATTTAAGAAGACTTAAGTTTTTTTTTTTTTTAAATCTCCTTTTATAGGGGACTTATACAGATAATTAATTTTGCTCTAATATTTACTAGCTTTAGTCTCTTAACTTTATTGGTATTATTTTTTTAAGTTTGGGGAACATAAACACTATGTGCCACCTGAAGCCTTTTTGTTTTAAAATCACTATTACCTAACATTACTTCAATTAGTCATTGATGAGTTTTTATTTAGTGGTGGAATGAGCAGGAACACAAGGAATAATCAGTCTAAAACTTGTGTACAATTTCTATTTTATTTATGAAAATATTTTCCCATTTTAAAAAAACTGTCTAAAGGCTTATTTATTTAAACAATGACAAGGATGTTAATAGCATTATTTGTGGTGGCAAACAACTGAAACAGAAATAGAAATTAGCTTATATCTACCGTATTAAGTAGGAAGTGGTTAAACAAGGTGTAGAGTATCTGTACTATGTAATGTTTGTTGTGTGCGGGTTTGATTGATTCCGAGGTTGTTTATTAGCATCCCTATAGGAAAGAGAGAGAAGCTCTCATAGCATAGTGTCTAAGGCACTTGACTGCTAACCAGAAGGCTGGCGGTTCATAACCCACCAGCCACTCCTCAGAAGGAAGGTTGGGCAATCTACTTCTGTAGTGATACTGCCTTGGCAACCCAAGGAGGGGGTCACTATGAGTCGAGGTCTCGACGGCACATAACAACAACATAGGAGAGAGTAGAACTTGCCCCATAGGGTTTCCTAGGCTGTAATCTTTTACCAGAGCAGATTATCAGGTCCTGAGGCTGGTGGGTTTGAATCAACCTTATCAACCTTTCCATTAGGAGCCAAGTGTTTAACCATTGCACTAATCAGTGCTCCTAATACTACACAGCAAATGAAAAAGAATGAGATCTAAATTTAATGATATGGAAAGATATGGCAGAACAATATGCCTCCACATCAAAAGAAGTAGTGAAGAATCCTGTTGAGTGGACTTTCTACCCATTCAACTTCTGGTTAAAATTAGGGTGATGACATCTAAATGTTAAATGAATATTGTTTATTTGTACAAATATTTCTAAATCAGCCAGCCATACTTGCACTATTATTTATGCAGCAAAATACAAAATTTCTTTCTACATATTCAAAGAAGGAACAAGTTAGGGGTAAAACAGAGCAGAAGAGCAGAGGAAATTAATGAAGCATCTTATAGCTTAAACCTTCTTCACCTTAACTTGTTTGGTAAGTAAAGCCTCCCAATTCTATAAAATACAAATAATCCTCCATCACATTTTTGTATTTTTAGTTTCTATTCTTCAAGGATAGATCCTAAAGATAGCCAAGATAGTATTAGATATGGTTTTATATATACCAAAGATATATTTTGTCACATCCAGAGCAACCAAGGTAATGTGTCACAAGGCTACTATTGAAACTTCTTTGATTAAATGCCAACTGTACCCTTCCCCAAATCTATACAATAGGCACAATGAAGACCAGGATAGATACATAAGCTCTAAAACAAGAAGTCCTATAAGAAAAGAAGTAATGCAGCCACTGCCTAAATTGACATTGATCATATATACCCATCTTCACACATCTTCAGGTTGTATGTTCACAGAGTAATTTAGGAATAGATCTACAGGTTGTGAGGCCTCCAGATCACTGGCAGAATTTTGCTGGAACTGGATCTGGGGTAGCTGGAATTCCTCTCCACAGTTCTGGAACTGATTATTCCAGGCCTGGCTGTTCCAGGATTGGTTATTCCAGGTCTGGCTGCTCCAAGCCTGGCTGTTCCAGGTCTGGCTGCTCCAAGCCTGGCTGTTCCAGGTCTGGTTGCTCCAAGCCTGGCTGTTCCAGGTCTGGTTGCTCCAAGTCTGGCTATTCCAAGTCTGATTGCTCCACATTGGAAAGTTTCCAGAAGGAAGGCATCCCTGGTGGTAGGGAGTGTAGAGGTCCAGGTATTCTGTAGGTGCTGAGACCTTTTGAAAGAGAATTGTAGATTAACCGAAAGGATACACAAGGAATGTCAGAATTGTCTGTGGTTGGAGTTGTGTTTCAAGGATGGACAAAAAAGAAAACAGCAGAAAAATAAGTTTCCTATTACCTGAGTCACAGCATTGTTATTCTTTGACCAGTTGGTGTTTTTCTGCCACCTCTTACATTTCATTCTTTGGTTCTGGAACCAAGTCTTAACCTGTAGGAAAAAGATGATGGGAAACCATAAGATTGTAAAACTGCAGATGTGATTGAGAGAAAAAATGTTGTTCTGTTTTTCCCTGACAGTTAAAAAAATAAAATAACCTAAAGTTCAGGAACAAATATGAATTTCTAGATCCTTTTTAAAAATCCTGAACCAATATTAAGAATATCCAAATTCCAGGAGAACTGTTGCATTGTGGGAAATTGTAGTCAATGTCATGAGACAAAGTATGTGAAATGCTATATGGAAAGTGAATTTGCTCTGTAAATTTTCACCCAAATCACAATCAAAAATAAAAAAAAGTGGCACAAAAATAAATGTTAATTATTTGGAGAAACTTCAAAAAAAAAAAAAAAAAAAGAGTATCCAAATCCCTCAAGTCAGTTGACTATTTTTTGTTCAATAAATCAAGCCACTGTATCTTTACATACAAGGTAGTTCACATTGAAATTTCTGATGGCCCTTTTTCAGAGCTTACCCATACATTACTCACAGCCCCTCATATATACATATATAAAATATGATAATGGTAGCATTTCAATTCAGGAATTATGGAATATTAACAATAGGACAATGAATATCAAATATTAAGTTATATTCTAAAGTACATCAAACTAAAATTTCCAGATGGTTTCTAGTCTATGAGTTAGGAAAATGAGATCACAGAAGGACCAGAAAACACAAGGAAATATCTTGGAATAGGGAAGAACTTTCTAAGTGTAGCACCAAAAGACACACTAAAATACTTCACTGAAAAAAAGCCTTCTGGACTTCCATAAGCCATTATAAACTAAGTGACACACAATTGATACAGGGTTGAGGAGCTTTTAAATCCATTTAAAAAACTGAACATTGGATAGAAAATAAAAAGTAAAAGGATTAAGGCAATTGACAGTAAAGATAAAAGGTCAATAAATATATGAAAAATGACCTATCTCATTAGTAATCAAATGCACAAAGATTAGAAACAAAAACAGTTTTTATTTTAATGGTACCAGGAGCTCTGGTAGCATAGTGGCTAAAGCACTTGACTGCTAACCAGAAGGCTGGCGGTTTAAACCCACCAGCCACTCCTCGGAAGGCAGGTTGGGCAATCCTACTTCCGTAGTGATACTGCCTTGGAAACACAAGGAGGGGTCGCTATGTGTCGGGGCCGACTCGACAGCACATAACAACAACAACAAAGTGTTGGTCAAGGACTCTCAGGTCTGGAAGTTGGAGGGTATTCCTTCTTGGATGAAGGAAAAATTGGAAATATTTTCATCTTAGTTTGTGCAACAAGGCGAAGTGGTTATAATATAGGACACATTCACACAACAATATGTCATGAAAGGGAGAGGTGGTCAAGAACCAAAAGATTCTATTATCATATTTAAGTTTTTTTTTTTTTTTGGGGGGGGTACATCCACAAAGATATTAGTGGATCCTGATCTGCTAATCAGTTTTATCTTGTTACAAGATTAAAAAAAAAGCAACCTTACCTGTTTGTAGCTAAGGTTCAAGACTTCAGAAAGTTCTTGCATCTGCTGGAGGCTGAGGTATCTCTGTTTCTGAAATCTATCTTTGAGTATGCACAGCTGGGTCTGAGTGAAAACAGTTCTGACCTTCTGTTTCTTTTCCTGGCCTTTACCTTCGTTCTTCACTGGGCTGTTCTCTACAGGAGCCGGCTCTTTTACTTTGGGACTGGTGGAAGAATCAGGGCTATCCTGAATAAGCACATCCATGGAGGAAGGAAGAGGAGAAGGAGAGACTGTTGGGAACAAATAAAATGACACTTTTCTCTAAAACTTTTCTTCAAATATTAAAATATCATATTTACAAATATGGTTTTCAAAGTACTTTCACAATCCTCACAACCTCCAAAGCTAGGTAAGCATCAAGCAACATCTTAATTCTTAAATTAAAATCATTGAGTCTCTTTACACACATAACAATCCGAGAAATAACAATCAAAGATCTCCATCTTAATATATAATGGAAACAAGCTTGGAGGGAGGTTTTTAACAAGGTGACCAACATCATTAACAATGTGACCCAGCGTTCCTGGGAAACAGAGTGGAACTCGACCTCGGATGACTTGCTCTTTGGCAACCAACATTTATTGCACATGGATGGTCAAGAACATGAATGCCGCATGCTAATGTCAGAATAGTGATCACCCAACTAATACCTGCCTTGTCTCTCCATAAATCACAACTTCTTGTTTGAAACCTTACTCAGCGCCACATATATACTTTTTTTTAAAAAAACTACACAATCAGATTCTGGGCACCCTATAAAATCAGAATTTACTGCCTAGGTTATTTCTGAATCCCTGAACTGTTGTTGTTGTTGTTTGCCGTCGAGTCGGCCCGACTCATAGTGACCCTTCCTTGGGTTTACGAGGCAGTATCACTACGGAAGTAGGATTGCCCGACCTTCCTTCCGAGGAGTGGTTGGTGGGTTTGAACCGCCAGCCTTCTGGTGA